TTCGTCTATCGATTGCCGCGACCTGGATACGTTATTTTTTATTTTATTTTTTTTGTGCGTCCGTCAATTGTCTTTTCGCTGCTTTCAACAATCGGCATCGTCGACGATTCGAAGTAGTCGAAGCATGGGTGGTGCTGTCTGCCTTTGAACACTTGGAAAACGAGTTCCCCACGTTTCGTCGGTGACGTTTGCCTCTGGATACTTGGAAAAAGAGTTCCCCAAGTTCCGTCGTTTCCAACTGCCACCTTTGTTTCTGTAGCCTGGTCATCACGAGATGGGTTGACTACGCCCCATGCTCCGGACCTCTATTCCGTTGCGTCCCCTTCCCCTGCGGCCTTCATCGACGTTCGCCATCGCCCACTTCACTGGACTTCTTTCCGCCATCGTCACTTCCTGGCGTCGACTACATCATCATAGTCGAGATCCCGAGTTCTAGTGTTGTATGCATGTTTATGTGTTTTCTGTTTATTATGTGTTGTGTGTTTGTGTTTCATCATCGCCCGTCTGTGCGAGATATAGGGTGGCTAGTCGCATTAGTTTTCGACTTTGATCATTCGTGCCTCGTCCAGCCATTGGTTTTACATGGTTTGGACTCCACGTTTCTTTGTGCAGTTTGGTTGGGGTGGCAATTAACGCCTCTCTTCCGTTTTGGCCATGAACGTTCTTTCAGTCTTACCTTTTGTGGTCAGCGCATTCAGCCGTAGTGTGCCCGTCGTCCTGTCCCACTGAATTTTGCGGGAGTAATTCTGGACTCTCTTGTGTCGCCACCCTCATTCCTCCAGTCGTAATACGCGCTTGCGCGCGAAATAGAGTGGTGTGTGGCGTTGATATTGATACTTCGTTTTTTTGGGTTAAAACATGGTGCTTTGCAGCACATCTTGCCTAGCTAGCTATATCCATGGGTATAACCTTATCATCATCGAGTCGCCACTAGCTGTGTTTCCGCGTCATCGGAATCACCTTTTGNAGACGTCAGGAGGTATACCCTCTTAGGACGTACCCCATCGGGACTTAGCTATCTGCGTGCCCCCAGGTTGAGGGCAATCCGCCTCACCTCAGACCTGTAGCAGACCCGCTTCTGCAATAACGAGCAACCTTCCCATCTCAACGTGCTCGTGGACAAGAGTGTCTACGGCAGAATCTACATGTACTACATCTAGGAGGCAAGCCACCGTCGGGCGGGCATTCCGTTAAAACACCCTTTGGGGGGTACGTTTGTTCTATCACAAGAAACACTGTTGCAAAAAAAAAAAAAACATGCATGCCCGGGGACAAAATTACTATATCCCCGGGTTTCCCGGTATCATCCATCCCCGCCCCACCCGCGCTGGTGGGGTGCACCCTAACCATCTCCACATGCCCCCACAAACCACGTCATCTTCTACTTTACTCTATTTTTCATCCATCATCCACCGCCTACACAACAGTAGTCCAGAAAAAAAACGACAACCGTAAAGCATCTATCCTACTCTAAACATCAACGATTGGTGTCGGGATCCGTTGCCGTCCTCGGTAGGAAATCTTCCTCCTCCTTGCTCAGGACAGTCCTGGGACCAACCTTCGCATCTATGGCCACCTTCTTCTTCACACGGTCGTGCAGCGAGGCTAGCGGTAACCCGTAGCAGGTCTTCGCAGCAACGCGGAGCGACATCTATCTACCGCTGCGTGCCGCATCTACAGCCTTCTGGGCCTGCTCTGGGTCTACTCTCGTACGTCCCATGCTTAACAGCAGGACCCCGAAAAGGGCAAAGATGCCCCACATCAGGGGTGTGGGTGAGGGCTGTGCTGTATCTCGGGAGTGCTTGACCCGATCGACACGCGGAGGTGCTCAACAAACGAAAGCCAACGGAAAGCTGAAAAATTGAAAATCAAAATTGGGGGTCTCCGCGGATGGTGCGCCCACGGACGTGCATTTGAAAAAAGTGTTCGTTAAAGGGGGAGTGTTCGTTAATACCCTGGTTTACTCCACCTGGCATGCCGCCAACCATACGGGACCATACACCCGTAAAGGCGGGTATTGAATTTCATAGCAGTGCTCGTAGAGGAGTTCTGCGGACCGGTCCCAATTTGTCCTTCACGTTGGCTAGTATATTGGGTGGATAGGCATATCTCACCATCTTTGATGCTGACACGACCGGCGAACAACGCCATGCACGGAAACGAGATTGACGAGCACTTACTACACAATACCGTTCTACAGTGCTTTAGCCCTGCTCTTTGTCGGGGCGCCTTGGGTGGCCGAGCCTTGAACCAAAATATGACGCGTCCATAGTTTTTCTTTTTCTCCCATCATCGGATTCTGTCGTCTGCCCCTCTGGCCCCTATCCTCCACTTCTACCAGCTAGACGACCCGACCGGGGTCACATAGGAGGGGGGCGCTGGACCCCCTCCCGCGGTTCCTAAGATATTTTTATCGCGAGAAGGGTACAGCAATCCCTTCCCTCGCGACTTTCGAAGTCGATTATGGATTACTAACAACGAGCTTTGAAACGCGTCGCTTTCATCCTAGACCAGGATTTATCAAGTGAGAAAAAAACTCACTCTGCCGGGACTCGAACCCATGACATGGCCCGTAGCAGGCTGCGAGGTTACCCACTTGATGTAGGTGCAGGATGCGGCGCCATCCTAGGCCATGTGCGTATGTGAGTGCCACAACATGTCCGTGTGCCCAAAAAACTGCGCAGGATGCAGTTCTTGCGTGTTACTTGCACGTCCACCGACGTTTTTGTGTCAGGTGGTACAAAAATATCAGATGTGAACGGTGGCTACCTCCGGCGGACGCACCTTGTGCACAAGAGGACATGCTGCAGCCGACGTGCCGTCTTTATTTCCTGCCGACAACCTGTGAAACACCACGAGCCTACATTTCTCATTTCGTCAAACAGGCATCAACACATGATTGCCTTGATTTTCATCGCGAAACGTGAAGTCGATATACAGATAGCGCCCGCACTCAAGAACTTAGCAGGTGAGAAATTGAGACTCGCAAAAAATCAGAAGCCAAGAACTTGAGCACCATTTGTGAGCTCGGCAAGGAACCCCGCACTAAAACCTATATAGCGGTCATTTGTAGCCCACAAGAGGATGATCAGCAAAAAAAGAACCCCAGCCTCGGCCGAAACTAGAGGTTCTTGAGTGCGGGCGCCATCTGTATGTTGTATACACACGGTCATCGCCTTCCACACCATAATGCTGGCTTGATGTGAAAAAAAAAAACAGTTGTTCGTGATGCACCGAAATTCGAACCCACGGGTCAATACGTGTCAGTAGACCGATAATAGTATTAAATGAAAAGCCACCAACGAACACAAGAAACTTTATCTCATCTCGCCGAACCGCGTTTGATGCCTCCTTTTCGAAAATTGCTGCAACCCCTCATGACCGGGACCGTGTGTGTTCGTCTTGCGTACGCCACGACACCCTCAGTCTCAGCACGCCTAATAGATATGCGTCGGGCCACTGCAATGCATACGCTGGTACATAAGATTCGAAGACTAATCGTCGGATTCTCCCGATGTTTTCATCGTATTGAGTCATTTTCAAAATTCAGTAGAGACAGAACCAAAGAACAAACCCCATGCCGAGGACAACAAAAACAAGGGAAATCGCGTCTCTGTTTCAAGGCGACTACTGTCGAAATCTAGCAGAAGTAATAGCCATCGCCCTGCCCGGAATTTTGCCCGATCGCACAAAAAAAAAAAGACAGACAACTTGCCATAGCAGGAAAACCCCGAGCACCGCCAGCACTGTGAAAGCCAGCAACGCCTCCATTTGTTCAAGAACCAACTTCTTTTGACTCGAACCACACCAGCGCCGCCTCCCTCCTACTCGTGCAAAGCGAAGCGAAAGGTGTAAACGTCGGGCTGCGAGCCTCTCATGCCAACAGTCCGACCCGGTTTCGCTGCCAGGCCGACGTCCACTCTGGCTTCGTTCAGGATGCACGAGATATTCGGCACCCCGTAACACCGTTCCGTGCCCCTCATTCCGCGATCAAGCTCCAGACAAAACGGGCGCCGCCCGTGCCTAAAACGCTAGCACGCGCACGTCCTCGCCGCGTCTTCTGTGGGAGGGGCAGCCGACAGCTGTAGAAACGGCGCGCACACACACATGCCCCATACGAACGGTGGCCAATGGATGTGTGATGGTTAGAAAAGCTCGCGGCAGCAGAGGCGGGAAAGGTTTCACGCTTATCATCAACTTGAGTTGGACAACATCAGTCTCTCGTAAATGGCAACGGGATCGCATGGGTGGGGAAGCTGGTGAATGGAAACTTGTGGAGAACAAGGGATCCCATTTTCCACCAATGGTGGGACGGGATGCAACACGTGCGACGTAGTCGGATGGTTTGACACGATCGTAACGGTGTTGTTCAGTGGTGTGGAAACTAAGACGGAGTTCCAAGCAGGGACAGGAGCACAAGTTTCCAAATCCGTCCAACGATGCAAAGAGGAAAAAAAAATCACCAGCATCTCCAACATCTGAGCTTGTGGTTTTTCTGAATCATCAGCGGCGAGACGGGCTTCGATGTAACAGGATTCCGAGCCAGCACGCGTAAGGCAACATGCGTACCCAATACGACCAACGCATGACCGAATGCGAGCCATTGTTGAACAGCCGCCACCGGCACCCAAAGGGCAGAAGAATCTCCCCACCAACGACAGGGCAAGAAACAACACAAAAACACTGGAGCAGAGCTCTGTGTCAAGAACGCTAAAAAATACTCCAAGACGTGCACGTCGTGAAAGCCTCCGCGCGCTTTCAACGGAAGAGACTCGGCGGCCCCTCCGCGAGGAAAATTGTTCCGCAACCCACCCCAATTAATGGGATACGTGCATCTACCCGTCGGAACCATCTAAGGCGGGCAGGAGAACGTAAACTGCCGACGGAGAAACATCACAGCATGACGGGGTCTCGGCCGAGAGAGAGGGGGGCGCGAGTCGAGAGACAGGCCACGAACAAACAAAACAAGACACGGCAAGGAAATGAAGGTGCTTCAACGGCGGCCGTAACCATCTACCTTGATGTCGATCAAATTCGCGTTGTTGGACGTGGCAGGTGCCGTCTCCATCCCGGGCAGCGCGGTCGCCAGCTTCCGAAACAAGGCCTGCATTTCCGACAAAAAGGAAACCCATCCCCGCGGACGACAGAGAAGGGGCGCATGGCGATGGTTTTTACGGGATGTTCGAAATATAATCCGTCATGAAAACCACGGCTCGTGGAGGGCAAAGAGTCGAGGGTTGGGGGAGGATCATCGGTCGCTAGAGCTGGTAGGTAGATCTTGCCCTAGCGCCTTGTCCAGACCTCTGGGCCAATGCGTGTTGTCCATTCGAACTTTGAACGTTTCCACCGACTACAAACAAAACACACCCGAGCAGATTCGCGCCCTGTGATGTCATCAACACCCGCCCATGAAAGCCAGGTAGCACGCTCCAGGTGTTCGCCTAGAGCACCAGGTCATCGCAGTCAGGTCGTGATAAAACCGTCAAGTGTTTTCCGTTCTTTTATCATTAACTCCCATCGACTCATTAGTCTATCCTTGTTCCACGACTGGTGCCATCCATCACCTTGATGTTGTAGCCCCCCTTTGCGCTTGTCTCGATGAACATAATGCCTTCCGCCTTAGCTCGGTCCTCCCCTTCCTCTACAGACACCTGCGGCAGAGCGACGACACCGACAGCAGCAGCAGTTGACAACACCGACTCGTGTTAGAGCGCGAGTTGGGTCGGACAAGTTGTCATTGAAACAAAGGACATGATAAAGGGCGAATACAGTGCAACAGCGAACGACGACGTCGACAGCAACAGCAGTTGGTGACACAGCCTCGAGTCAGGAGCGATGGTGGCGGCGAAGCAGGACTTTGGGCGCACCGGGTGGTGCCAGAATCGTTCTGGCAAGCGACATAAAACCAAACCACACAAGTCCCTGCGGTTCTGCGGAAAGCGGCACCGCCGTCTTCCACGCGTCCGGGTAGTGATGGGCTTTGGGCGTCCACGCGGATGGATATGGCGTACTCCGCCCGCCGATGCTTCCCGAAATCGGCTCAGACCAACCGCAACGCAGCGACGCAGCTGCAACACCACAGCCACCATCACCACCGCCCGGAAGCATACCATAGTTGACATGACGTAAGATAGCACACCATTGAATCGATTTTCAAACCTCGATTCCTCCTCAGCACGGAGGGTGGCAGTGCCGACAATTGGCGGCGTTGGAACCGTCTCATCACTGAGAGCTCTCCGTTCACGTACCGTTTACTTCGCAGATGTCTTCGTTGTGGAGTAACTGGCCTCCGAAAACCGGTCAAGGGGGTGATAATATCTTACGTTCAAGGCACCTGCGCCCTCGCTCCCCGAAATCGATCCAGACCAACCGCAAGGCTGCGACAGCAGCAGCAGCAGCAGCAGCAGTACAACGACAACGACAGCGACAGCAACAAATGCCCCCCGCGCCGCTCCCCGGCATCGGCCCAGACCAAATCACAACGCTGGGACAGCAGCAGCACCAGCAGCACGACCACAACGGCAACGACAACGACATCAACAAGCGTCCCGACGAACGCACCTGCCGCCGCTCCTTCAAGTCCGTCTTATTGCCGACGAGCATCATCACCACGTCGTTCCCTCGCTCGTTACGGACGTCCTCGATCCACTTGCTTGTGTTCAGGAAGCTGTGCAATCCGCGACAGCGACAAAGAGGCAAAACACCCGGTGAGCTTTGTAGACGCTTCAACCCCAGGTCCTGGCGCATACCATGGCAACAACAGCTCCAACAAGGTGCTCCGCAAGGAAACACCAACTTCGGAACGAACAAAGACCCGGCTTTCCGTTCCCAGGACCAATCCTACTGACAAATGAAACCTATCACGTGACACACAAAGGCAAACGACGACGACCCGTTCCTTAAGCGGGGCTGGTTGTGAGATCTATCCAACATGAAGGCCTAAACCAACATGCGTATCCGTCTTCCTGGCGCCATGGAGGCTTTCAAGACACATGCTCGTGCTCCCGCACGGAGACCCAAGGCAAGCAGGAAACCGCTGCTGTTGCTATGTACTTGAGTGGGACCGGTCACAAGGGACTAGTCAACTGTCCCGAAAAGAGGTTCCGCCCCACCGTGTATGCATGCATGTAGAATCGTGGGGCTGGAGAGGATCACCCGCCTGAGGAAAGCCTCTCAAGTGCGGTAGCATCGCAACCCCCCCGGTCAGGCAACAGCGGCGACGAAAGACGCAAAACCCTAAAACACCGACGGTTTTTGTGCCAAACACTTCGAGCGCCGATGGTGGGGCTCTCTGGGAGAGCCCTCTTCTCGCCCTATTTGTGAGGTCGTACTAACAGCGGCTACGGAAGAGGCCAAATAAACCCTGACACATCAACGGTTCTAGTGCTAATATCTTATTGTATAATAGAGCGCCAACGGTGGGAGTGGTGTCTACGAGGGTGCTCACCCTAGCCCTGTTCATGACGTCGCAAAAACAATGGCGGCGGCGGAAAGCCTGTCCGCAAGACCCCAACACTTTTGCCGTAGCCTTCGCGACGATATTAAGCTTGGCCGTAGTAACTAAGAGTTGCGGCTTGGGCTAGGGCAAGGGTAAGGGTCACGAAACCCCCCTCTATTTCATAAACAAAGCTTCACATCCTCGCAAAAGCGGTCTTGTTCTAAAGTACCGTATGTGACACAATACAACACACCCCCTTGACCAATTTTCGAAGCTCGATTTCTCAAGTGCAGGAACAGTCACAGCGCCGAAAACGGCGGTGTTGAAACCGTCTCGTCGAGAGCTTTTCGAAAATGTATCGTTTCGTTTATGCATCCTCTTCGTTGTGGAATAATCGAGCTTTGAAAACCGGTCCAGGGGGTGTGTTATCTTGTGTCATATACGGTACTAGCGTTCGAGCAACGATGGTGGAAGCTTGCGAGAGCGCTCTCACCTCGCCCGATTCGTGATGTCGTAGACGATCACCGCCACCGACGAGTCTCTGATATAGCTGGGGATGAGGGAGCGGAAACGCTCCTGTCCGGCAGTATCCCAAAGCTGAAGCCGCACCGTCCGGTCTTCCAAGTACCTTCAACAACCATCAGCAGATTGGAAGGTGCGAGGCCACATTGAGAGTTGAACTCAACACAAGGGATATGTGAGGAATTGAGCAAGGCAAGCGCGCTGGCACACTCCCACGAACAAGCAGGGCGTGAAGCTCCGCACAAGACCCGCAAAGGGCACACGGATTCGGGAAAAACTCTGCGACTACGGTACCGCGCAAGGACCAAGCACGTCAAGGGTGCCGTCGCATCAAGCATGCTTTGATGCTAGCTGAGCCAACTTCCCCGTCTTTGGCGTGCAGGCCATGCGTGCTGACGGGGAGTCGTTCTGAGAAGAGCCCAATCTCCCACACTCTACTTGTATGCAGGAGGACCAAGGGCGCAAAGGAGCCGTGTACACCATTTGTTGAGGGCGCGAGAGTTGCTGCAGCAGCAACAGCGACGCTGCCGGCGAATGGAATGCAAGTCAAAGCGGCTGGCTCACATAGTCTTGGAGAGGAAGTCGATCCCGATGGTCGCTTGGTAGTTCTTGTCGAAGTTGTCGTACATGAACCGGGTGATGATGCTTGTCTTCCCCACGCTCTGGTCTCCCAGGAAAACCAGCTTGTACTTCGCCAGGGGCGCGATCTGAGGGACCGCGGGGGGCCCGCCATTTTCTCTGCGAAAAAGGCACGTATGGACAGAAAAGAGACACACCCGCGGCCAACAAACAGGGAGCACGACCACGATATGCTTTGGGTCACACGTGGCACTCCAATCGTCGGCAATGTAGTCGTTCAGCGTCCTTGCATGATCTGCTGGTTACAGCATGAGCTTGGACGCACGCTGAGAGCTTCGGGAAGCCGGGGGTTGCGCCCCCCCCACCCCTGCAACCCCCATGGGAGTACACACGCTACACTATGCCACACGAAATCGAACACGCTCCGCTCATAGTCGGTTAACCCTCCGCCCAAAGTGGAATAAGACAACGAAGAGAACGAGCGAGGGGAGCAGGAAGGTGCTTCCAAATTTGAATCCTTTGGCCTCTTGGTTTCCCAAGGTTCAAGGCAAGGCTCAATCGGCGATCCATCGGACGCCCAGACGGAAGAAAAAAAATGTTTGGTTTGTTTTAGAAAATGTGTAAAAGAAATATATTTAACAATCTTGATATGGTATCTATGGTGCATCAAGGAGGGGGCATCAAGAAGACTCTTCTTTGACGCCTTCGACGGACACCTTCTGCAGGCCGGCGGGCGGCACGCTGAAAACTTTCGTTCGCACGTTGGATCCTCGACATCACGGACGTAGCCAGCCAAACCTATATACCACGGCCGAAACATTCACCCACCCCTTTTTGAGCTAGCCAGGCGAAACAACGCGGTCTCTTCATGCCATTCCTCTTCTGCGGTGTTTCCCCTCAGTTTCCCACGAAATTGAGGGAAACACACTGCAGAAGAGGAATGGCAATAAGAGCCCGCGTCGTTTTGCCTGGCTACTGTTTTTCTCTGCCACGAGTGTTGCGCCGTCATATGAATTGGTGGAGCTCCTCTTGGAAAATACGGGTTAGGGTCACCTTTCAGCATGTTTGCCTAACTCTCTAGCCAATAGGCGTGAACGCACGACCTGGCCGGCGATCCAGAAAGGCTTGCGTGCTTAACGCGTGGTTCAAGCAGCACGCGCTCCCCCAAAGGAGCAGACATACCACGCCCTGCAAACCCTCGTGTTAAAGCGAAAGCAGCTGCCTACAAGTCAATGCTGTGGTACGGATGTACCCAGCACGATTGCAAAGCAACGGCCGAAACTATCATAGCAGTACCTCGAAAATATCATCATCTGTTTCGTCGGCGTGTGTCAGCGGCTGGTGTAGTGCAGGTCTGGTGTAAGGCATCACGGAACGTGCTGACCGTTATTCCCGCGTCGGCGAAACAAACAAACACAGAACTCCCGTTCCTGAAAAAGCGTCATTCTCAGACAAGAACCATATCGAGCGCCCGTCTTCCCATCCCGAAGACCACACACCCTCGTCCCCCTTACAGTCTTCAACGGCAACGACCGCCTCGGGCCACTGCTACTCGGAGGTGTGATATGGCGACGGAGAATAAGGAGGTCGAGAGTACAATACTTGTCCATAAAAAAACACGCCCAGCAAAACAAAATTTCTACACACCAGCGGCGTGCCGATATGCCGATTATCTCAAACGTAAGCTTTGATGAAAGGCAGGGGCACCGCATGGGTAACAGCCACACAAAGCAGCAGTACCGACATGAATGCCATGCACATGTACACTTGGACGACTACAAGTGGTGTTGTTTTTGTTTTTCCCCCAAAACAATTAATTGTTGTCTTGCAGGCGGAACAAACGATGTCACGAGAACAGCAATGCTCGGCAAAGCAGCGTTTCCGATCAGGCGGGGTCGTGAGTGCGACGTACGAGGGCATCATGTGCAAAACCCAGACAGGGCTGCTTCTATCCGCACTTAAAGGTGACATCCGATGCCGCTGTTCCACTCCTGAATATTTCGAAAAGGAATATATATTTCCCAGCGATGGAAATGCACGTCCGAGGGGTGCGTTTTACAGCTGCCGCCATACAGTCACCATCCGTAGCGCTCAGCGCGTGCAGCAGCGACAGCTTCAACAGCAATGGGGCAGAGGGGGGATATGGAGAGCGGCATAGAAACGGGACAAACTCGGCCATTTGGGCAGTAGGACTGCCCACAACCCGATGATTTTTACGGAACACAGAGTGGCAGGGAGGGGTACACGACCTGGCGGCGAATTTCCCAAACACGTGACACGCGTAAAATCGGAAACACTGCTCTCACCCTGGTTGTGCCATCCCCCCGTCTCGCCACGCCTACCCACGCAGCAGCGCCCTCTGTCCCTTAAGCCTCGGATCGCTGCGAAGCAGGCCTGTGCCACACACACGCAACGCACGACCGCTGTGGGCGTGTGTGCTGGGCTGTGCGAGATCTAAAATTCTGGTACAGGTTGAGAGATTCAGCGGTGAGTCGTGGCCTCTCTTGCTTCTCTCACAATGCCACGGGGCAACGGTGACAGAGTCTTGACGTCCTTGGAGGGATCGTACAGCGTGGACTCTCCCGCTCTCTGAATTCCAGCGGCGGTGCTCGTTAGTCCGTGGTTCTTCTCTACCCTTTCTCCTACCTGCTCGTGTGCCCTAGAGAGCAGATCGGAGGAACAAGAGAGAGGGGGCGGTACGGGGCAACGCAAATTCATCAAAACGCCATGCAAGTTTTGCCAACGCCTCGCTTGACGGGCCCCACTTGACGGTTTCATCTTTCATGACGTGTCTGTCGACGAGACTGCTGTACAGAGCAAGCGGCGAAGCGTATACCATTGGCAGTCGATGCAACACGAGTGTTCATGTGCGTGAGAAGGTCATCCATTCTAGAATGTACCTGCAGTTGGAATTGTGCCTAGAGCATCCAACCACTTTTCATCGCCGCGGAAGTTCAAGGGGTCTACTCGTTCGCACCTTCTTGAAGATATATACCAGTAGGCCAAGCGACGGAAGCAAGCAAATTTCAATATTCACGTCACGAGCATCGTGTTGGACCTGATGCAACTCAAACAACCAGTTAACATGTTCAGATGGATCGAGATGCCAAAGCTCAAGTTTAGCGTCCCTAATTCTACCTCCATATATTATTTGCAACCCTCATCTCAAAATAACCGAATAGTCTAGACTGCAACAGCGGCAACCACCACACGTTTTTGCTCAAGCACACATATGCACAACAAGACAGCACCCAAAGGTGCCGCTGTTTCATTACTTGCAGGGGGCCCATCAATTGTTGATTCGTGGCATGTCCCCATTCCTTCTGACAAGCAAACAGAGAGGCGCCTATGTCGCGACGCCCTAACACGCTCCGCCAGCATGGAGACCAGCGCGACCGACATTTCCACAACAACAGATGACGCGTGTGCGATGAACGGATCGCGAGAATTATCCGCCATCCAAAACAATCCTCACGATGAGTCGGATCCCGATAACGGACAGCAAGTCACCGGCGACCACAACAATGGTGCTACCCGAGATCGTGGGGCAGTGACGGGCTCACTACGGTCATCATCCGCAGTCGAACATGCTGCTGCTGCCGCTACTGCTTCTGATTTTGCTGTCAGTCCGAGCGCCGCCGTCACTCCCGCTGCGATCACGACTCCTCCCACCACCGTACCTACGAATGGTGGCAACCTTCCCGACACAACACCAGCCGACGTTGACACAGACGACGGAAATGATGCAGCAGCACTTCAAGAATCAGGCGAACGTTATAATTACCAGAGCTCCACCGGGCGCAACATGTGGTCTGTGTTTAACCCGATGTGGAATCATTTTACCGTATGCAAGGCTCGCTTGCCGTCAACATCGGACATCGAGGCTGATTGGGCAGGGACTGCAGGGAGGCCGGAGGAGCTCAAGCTGTTTCTGGGTCTCAAGAATACGACCAATCGCGAGTAAGTCGTGCCTTCAGAAAGCATAGTGACAGGGGAGTCGCGCAATGGCGAACCCATGAGTCTGGCCCTCGGATAGCGAATGCTGCCACCGATTGTTCTCAATCCGCCCTTTCGTGTCAACACGGCTACATACCGTATCTCTTTTCCCCCTGCTGCCTCATCGTAGGACGGTGGGTTTCCTGCAGCGATGCATCGATGAGAAGCTCGTGATGCAGGGCATCCTTCTCCGCGGACCGGCAGGATCTGGCAAGAGCGCCCTTGTCAAGGTGCGCAACAGCCCGTAATGTTACGACTATGCCAAGGAGGATCGCGTCCCCTTCCGAAAATGATGTGTTTCCAACCTTCTGCCACAACAACCCCCCCTTCTCTAATTTGCAAAGGTCGCCCCCGGCAACTGAGATTGCGATGAGATGTATCCTTTCCTATGCACACGACGCAAGGCCAACACCAGATGTACATTACAAACAGAGAACGCGCCTAAAGCTTTGGCAAGGATAGCCTCAACCTGGCCAAAGTCTCACCTGCAATCCACCTTCACTTGTGATTGTCACCGGCCCTTCGCTCATCCCACACAATGAGAATAATCATGTCGGTCTTTGCAGGTGTTTCTGTCCGAGTTTCTGGAACGATTTACTTCCACCCCACAGGCTTTCGCTCGCCTGTATCGCACGCGGGTCCTCAGCGTCAACCGACAGGTACTTGACAACGATCGATTCCGATTCCTTTCGCACAAGTTGGCGTGGTAGGCCACGACGCTTTCCTTTTTCTCCATAAGGGAATGCGACGAGAGCGTTCGAGTAGAGTATTTTCTGTAGTCCGCCTATGACCCTTTAATGTCTTACCCGACTCTGTTTCCAAGAAGCTATGTGCTTCGATGCGCCAAACGGTTGTTGTCCGCCGCACATACTCTTGTCTACAACGATGGTGTGCTGCATCACCCGACTGAGAAGTTCCTGCAGATCGGTGTCGTATGCGTCCCGCGTGGTGCTTTCTGTCCAGGACCTAGCGAGTTCCCCTAAGGAGTTGACGAGTCGTCTCCGACGGTTCGTCTCTGCTAAGAAGGACCGCCTCTCGGAAATCGTCCCTCGTTTCATCGTGGTCGACGGGATGGAAAGGTGAGGAGGGTGGAACGAACAGAGATTTAGGTTCAGTCGTTGCCCGAGGCGCGGGTGGGGTCCAGGCGTTCGATAAGACGCACACTGCTTTGATATATGACGCCCGTTGTCTAAAGGTCGAGGTCTGAGTGGTCCGCAACTCTGGTTGCGACATCTTGTAGGAGTCACGTCGATGAGGTCGAAGGGTGAGAATGGCGCGATTGCGTAAGGGATTTTGCCCTTTCCAATGAACAGACGCAAGTCAAGTGTTTGATGGAGGGCTATGCCTTTATTACTAAGACAGACGAAAGCCAAGTGTTCATTGAACACGTGCCCTCCGGCTGTAAAATCGGAAGGTGCACGACAAACTCTTTCTGTTCTGATTGCGACGTCCCACTCGTGTGGTGTGGGCACACTACTAGACGACAGCGTAGCAGTCCGGATCAATCTCCACCTCGAACACCTACACAACCCCTTCCAACACGTACCCTGCCACGCCCCCGCATCAACCTCGCAGCGTACCCTCGAAATCGCAGTCGGCCCTGATGACCGCGATAGAAGCAGCGACTTTGGGGAATATTTCGAGCCAGGCGGGAGGGAATATCACTCGTGGTGGTGGTGACACCGGCAGTGGGGGTGGTGGAGGAGGAGGGGGGGGAGGGTCAAGTGCAGGCTTACGGATGATTCTGACGACGAGGGACGCATCCAAGCTGACCGCGTCGTTTCGGAAGTGCGTGAAGCCATTCAAGGTGTGGACGCAGGTTCAGTGTGACGAACCATTGGCAAGCACTGCCGTGCGTGAAAAACTCGAAGACTTGGAGAATGTTCTTGGTGCAGGCAGAGACAACAGACCCGAATCTCGATGCTGATTGGACGTCGGGGCAAGGAGATTCCCTCGCTCATGACTTTGTTGACGAGTTTCCGTATCTCGCGAAAGTACCTATTTCGATAAAATTTCTCACTGCGGAGGCGCTGGTCTATGGGGCACGATTTCACCATTGTTCAAGGCACGAATGTTCGACTACGCCCCGTTTGCCCACGTCACCCCTATCGGCACCAGGTTGAGATGGTGGACGAGAGCGATGGAGTGAAAATACTTTTGAGGTGAGGCATCGACGTAAGAAAATCATCCAAGTTTCGAATCGGAGAATATGAATGGAATCACTCGGGCGCATTGCTCGCGATTCAGTATAAGGCCAGAAGAATTGGTCCCCGATGCTAACACGTCTGATAACTTGTTCAACAATAGGGACTTGTTTCGATCGCTGCCTTGGTTGGTAACCAGAACGTCCTCGGTAACATCTCGCAATGCGAAAAAAATTACCGACAAGGTTCCACAAATCGGCCCCAATTGCAGGCTGGCGGGCTGGCGGGTTGGCATACGTCCGTCCCTATGCCGTTGCCACACGCTGAACGACAATGCCTTAGGAGGAGACGGCAGGATTCGATCGATGATCCTGTAGCAAAGCAAATCCTTATCAAAGCGGAGCACCAATATCCAAGTGGTGCCTTTCACAGATCCTGCCACGTGTGCCGAGAGACACAAGCTCGGGTGTCCAGCATCCCAACTTGCTGGAGACACACCGCTTGCCCAGCACGATAATCTCCTCGTTGTCGTGCTGCATCACATTGCTCCTCACGAAAAAACGTCGACTGTTTCACCGGCAGAATTCTGCAGCGGGAGAACGTGGGTTTCGAGCTGTTGGCGGTGAAAGTCATCTTCCGGACGTACTGGCCGGACCTCCAGCAGTGCATCGCAGCGGCCAACAAGGTGCCACAAGAGGCGGAAGGATGGCACCCTCTCTAGACCAAGTTGCAAAGCTCGATTGCTCCGCAGCGAAGCTTGTGCCAACACAGACAACGCTAGTGTTGGAAACGTCGCGTCGAGGGCTTTCCGTGAGGCGTATCGGCCTCTTTCCGCACCCCCGTGGTTGTAGAGCCTTTCAAGTCTTGAAACGGGGGGCGGTGCCATCTCTCGGTCTCTTGCCGTAAACTGTGGCTCGGTAACGCCCACTGCTAGACCGCGCTCCTGCGCAATCCAGGCGAATTCCAACAAGATCAGCGCAACAGTAGGCACGCGGCACTTGTCACTTGAAATTGGCAGTTACCAGAAACGCAGGGGACACCCACACGTGGTACGAGCACGAGCCACTACAACCAACTGTGGGCCACGGCCTGGGAAACGGTGCTGACCATGTTTCCGTGCTCCACAGGTGTTCTGCGAGAAGGAGTTCTTGAGCGAGGAAAACGCTCTCAAGGTCATCGCCCCTAACACGCTGGCGGCGCGAGAGGAGATGTCTCACCATGTGCAAGCATCCGACTCCCTCGAGCCGCTCGCCGTGTGCCAGGCGTGCACCCTCCGCCCGCCATGCCAGCATATTTCTGAACAGGTGTGGAGTTGCGGTTGCTGTCGTGGTAGCTTTTGTGGACGTTCGGTGGCGGTTGTTGTCGTTGTCGTTGCTGTTGTTATTGTTGTTGTCGTTGTTGTTGTTGTTGTTGTTGTTGTTGTTGTTGTTGTTGTTGTTGTTGTTGTTGTTGTTGTTGTTGTTGTTGTTGTTGTTGTTGTTGTTGTTGTCGTCGTCGATGATGTTCTTGTTGCTGTTGCTGTTGCTGCAAAATAGTTCTGCTGCCTCTGCTCTTGTGCTGATGTATCCTCGTTTATGTCGTGCCCTGTGGTTGTTGTTTGCACATCCCACCTTCCCCTCTAACACGTCTGAAATCCGGCCATGCACGTTTTCAACGCATCGTAAACTTTCAGGACTGTGCAAGTTCCACTCCGTTGCCTTTGAGCAGGTCACGTCATATCCCGAGCACTATTCACCCACATATGCTTTTTCGATACGTGCTAACCCTGATGACAACCACCCAGGTTTTCATTTGCATAGTCATTGTGCCTCTCTCTCGATCGCATTTCTCAGCCAGTGAATTCCCAAGGTGGATTGATTCTGAAGACGAGCCGGGGCCAACAGAAGTACTGGTTTGAATATGTTTCGTAGATTTTTCCGATCCTATTCTCGCCGTGCTCTTCCTTACCCCCCCGTGGTCGGAAGTCAAACACGCCCCTCTCCCTGCAACGTTGGCGATGCGACGAACCGTGATGTCTTTCCACCGCTTGGTGGGGCAAGAGGCATTGTTCACGTCACCGAGGCAAAGAACATATCTTTCAGAGCTTTGTTTCTTGACCTTTTTGTTGAGCCACATACCGTGACGGAGGTGGTTCAGTGAATTGAGCTCTTTCCATTGACTGCACCACACCACTAATCTTGTCTTGCTTCAGCGGGCGCAGAATATCGCTTTCCCTTTCCACACGTCCACACGTAGTAATATCGTTACCAAAGCCCAACTTTGGCGCTGTACCGCCACCGCTGTTGTCCAGGAGCTGGCGAGCCGGGGCATGCGGAGAAGGATGGAGCTTCCCCAACGACGGGGGGCAAAGGGGTCGCTACAGGGAGGGAAGGGCGATGGGGAAAAGGATTTCGCGGACTGTCAGGACTTCGTAAAGCGAGGGGCGTGTCGTTCCTTCAACGAGCGGGGACGCTGCAGCAACCATCACCCTCTGGATGCGCACGTCGTAGAGGTCGCGGAACCGAGGTGCCCCCAGGTGAGGGACTTTCGGTCTCGGCCTTCGCCGTGCGTTTTGGGCTGGACTACAGCATCACTCCCTATCTCCGTTCCTGGGATATGGCTGTTGCCACGCTCGTTTGTTGCAGGTTGCACGTGAGCGTCTGCCGTGCACACTTGTTGGCAACGACTTTCTCACGTGCTTGTAGCACGCAACTGCCTTGGGAGATATTTTTACTGTGGCCCGACGGCGCTTGGGCCCGTTCGGCCAGGCTATACTTGTCGATTGTCCTGCCCGTGGCTGTGAGTGTGTACCAGACGGAGCTCCTCTTGTGTGTTTGCGGTGGGGGCTCCTTTCGCGCCACGCTTCATTTCGGACACGACAATTTTTTTAGGGAGTTTTGCCTTAGACAGACACAGTCGTGTTGCCGAAAACGAGATGGAAAATTATCGTCTTGAGCTACCCCTCCCAGTTCTCCCGGCCACCCAAGCGACAAGGAAGTACGCCGAAAAAGCACAAAATCTCGACCACGACAGTTTATTTCGGCTGCTGTAACCTTCTTGTAGCCATCTTTGAACAAGCTGCAATGTACCGAACACACGTCGACGGTTGTCCGCCCCGCCCCCCCCCCCCTCGTGCGCCACACATCTCGCGGCACAACTTCTACGAACGCGCCCCGCTGTATGCGGCCAACTACAGTGCACGATACGTCTCCCGTGCGGCCACTGCGATTACGACCAGTCGAGGAGGAGCCTCAACACTTTCTGCGAAGCCGCAGGGGCTAGGATACAGGTACAGGCCTGTTGAGGATGTGGTCATGGTGTTGTGCAGGATGATCGCAATGTTGCATCAAGATAGCGTGCATTTCCACCGTGTAGAAACTAGGTGCCACGCGGTTTCGTGGCCCATCCAAACGCGGTTTCGATGTTCGATATTTCTACCGCCCGCACTCCAAACCAGGCAGCGATCCCTTCGGCTGTCCCTAGCTTCGCCCCGCCGCGCGACCGCCTCTCTTTGCTACGACGTCCCGATACAATTCTGCCAAACACCAGCTTGCACGCGCATGGTTTCGTACGTCCTTGGTCGCAACACAAACTCGCCACAGAAGCGCATAGGTCGACTACACCGGCTACTGAAGACTGGCGGCGGTGGTGGGGACAACAAACAGCAGCCAGGATCGACGACGAAGTCAACCGTCGAAGCGAGCGGTGATGCCGGAGGGCACGAGGGGGGGCAGGGACGCACCAACAGAACCGCCGACAGCACCCCTGATTCGCCCACCGTCGCTGCAAACAAGAAACCCAGCGCGACCAAGAGCACCAAGCAGCAGCAATGGTCTACTTTCGATAGCCGTGCCAGCAAGGCCAACAGCCGCGGCGTGGAGGCCGTGTTGGCGAAGCTTGGCGAGATCGGCAGGGATCTGGAGGCACAGCGAGCTTGGACCACAGACACAACAACCCCCGGTGGAGGCATGCACGAGTTTCGGGCGTCGGTTTTCGACAAAAAGCTGGAAAGATTGTTCCGGCGGTGCGAAGAGGCCCACGAGGAGGCGGACGCGGTGTCGGAGGCATACTTGCTGCTGTTGGAAAACGTGCGGTAGCTCAATACACCACGGCTGGGAGATTTTGCTGTCTTATGACGCTTACAGCTCGTATTGTCGTGCTTGCAAGTTACCCGAACAGGCCTGTTGTCCCCTTCGGCTTAATTCGTCCTCCCTGTAGTGATTGGTGTATGCGATAAAGGAAAGCTAAACCATTACACTACTCGCCTGACTGAATGGTTCGATGGTTGAACTATCTGGCTGAGTGGTCTAATGGTTTAGCAGTATCGAATATGATGTGCCATCATCCAGTCGGCTGGCGGGACCGACGCCGTCAACAAATCATTCCCTCGTTAAACGTTGTAGTCGCCAATGCGGTCCGTGATAGGAACCAACCCCGAAGGATTCTACGATTGCCGAGTCAAGGCGTCTTTCTCCAGAATGCCATTGCTTTTCAGAAATAGCTCAAATGGTTTGTGTGCACCTCAAAGGGTGTGTGTGCTTGGCGCGATGATATTTTAGAAAGCCTCCTTTACTTTTCCACGTGCTGGTACGATTTTTTCTCTTGAGAACATGTTGTTTGTTTCCCGCGTCACACGCATTTAGACCCCTCCCCCCCGCCCCCCGGAGGGTTTGCATCGCGAACATGATAGAAACAGAGAAGGTAAGGAGACAAGAGGCGAGGGCGACGGAGGCGAAGAGGGGACCGAGCGGGGGAGGCGAGCAGGCAAGTCAGAAGAACGCCGAGAAGAAGTGGAAGGCGAACAATAGAGTGCGCAAAATCTCCAATAGGGAAAAGCACAAGCTGAGAGTCGGGTCGTGGAACGTGTGCGGGTTCGCAAGGAGTGAGCGCAAGCGGTTGGAAGTAGTGGACCAAGTAGAACAAAGCGATCTAGATGTAGTGGGGATCCAAGAGACGTGGGAAT